CTTCCTGTTCGGTGAATGCATAAGCCCGCTCCCTCTTTTTTTTTTTTTTGGAATCTTCAGGCCTCTCTGATGAGGTATCTACAGCTGAAGGCGGAGGGCTAGGGCTCCTAGGGCTCGAGGCAGTTACATCGTTGTCTTGATTCATACTGTGCTCTTCGTCCTGAACATCCAGGTCCTCCTGTATGTAACTAGTATCTTCCTGATGAACATCTACCTCCACCACAAGTTGCGTATCAGTGTCAGAAGCATCTGGTATACCTCTCTCCTTCATTTTGTTTGATATGTTCTTAGTTCTGCTTCTTTTTGCTGACATATTGGTGTTGTGTTGACACGCCACGTGTATCACGAAATCAAGTCGTACCAAATGCTCCTGGTGATCGTAGCCAACTCGGTGCGCTCGTACTTAACTCGTACTCATTTCGGGGTGCTGCTCGCATCAAACTCGTGGGTGACAAAACCGTCGACGAGTTTCCCGAGTAGTGGGCGAGTTAGGTAGGAGTAGGGCCTACGGCCGAGTACTCCACGAGTTACCTACGAGTCCTTCGAGTTTACTACGAGTTGTCAACTCGTAGAGCTAATTTTGAACATGTTCAAAATTGGCGCCACGAGTTCAGAGCTTCTACGAGTAGGTACGAGTTCTCCCCGAGCTTCCCGAATCGCCCTACGAGTTTTTGCCGAGTTCGCCGAGCTAGCCACTCGGCAAACTCTTGTAACTCCTATGCTGAAAAAACCCCTAGTGGAAGAGGGGCTTTTTTACTTGCAAAAGTAGTCCAAAAAACGTAAGCTCATTTCGAAAAGAAGCACTGGACCTCTATAAAAGATTTTACGGTAGCCTATCTGTTCATTTTTTGTCTATTTTACAATCATTGGTGATCCGCATCTAGTGCGGATCACCTCTTGTTATTGCCAGAGATCTTTTTTTTTTGGTGATCCGCTACACTAGCGGATCACCTCTTGTTATTGTCAGAGATCTTTTTTTTTCCCATTTCTTGTTAGCACGATATCTAAAAATTGGCACAATATTCATACATGCGCGTTTCAACGAACATTTAGCTTGGCCTGGAATAGTCACAATAAGGTTTTCAAAGTGCGCAGTTACGCGTGACGTCATCTACGCGCAATTTTGCGTTTTTACATTATCGATCATATCAGCCTAACCAATTGCCATTTCGAAATCGTATTACGTGAGCATTAACTTCGAGTGAAGGTTGAATGTAATGTACACTCATTTTGCGCGTGCGTTTCATAACGCGTGCGTACGGGCGCGTCAAAGTTTTAAAATGGTCGAAATCATTTTTTGACTAAATTAGAGCACGTTTAAAGCCAATTTGAGCATTTCAACATTTTTAAAATTTTCAGCACCGCGTGCGCATTTTTACGCGCGCAGCACGTACAGAAGTTTAAAATATTGTTTATTTAAATGTTTTAGGACCCTGACACTGTATTCCCAAATTTCCAATCTTTTTTGGTCATTTAGAGTCAATAGCAATGCCGTACGCGCGTATCGAACATAAGAGCACATGTGCGCGTTTTTTTCGACATAGATCAAAAATAGGCCAAAAAATGCCTATTTTCATTCAATTATAGCTCCTTAGAATGAAAGGTGACCCCCATTTTTTATTACATATTCTGAAAGCACAAGAGTTTTACATATGATTTTATAGGTCATAATAGCTGATTGGACATTATGACGTCATCATATTGCCATCTGAATTCAACAAACTGAATATTATCGATGATGTCATTTAAAAAAAATGCGCATTTGAGCGTATCTCGCTTATTCTTGGTCGATTGTCTTCCAAATTTAAGTATGTTATAGCTAAGGCAATTCTCTTTCATATATTTGACACTTTTTCACATTTAGATGACGTCATCATGGTCAAAATATAGGGTTTTGCTTACCCCCTCATCTTTCTTTCGTCAAAATATTGATGACCCCATAATCACCTTAATCATTCGTGATTTCTGAATCATATTTAGTGGGCATAAATTTCAGGTCATGGTTAAATGTTATGTACATTATATTTTTGTGCGCGCGTAATAACGCGAGCGTTCACGTGCGTCAAAATTAAAATATGCTTTATATCAAGTCTTTTTAATCAGTTATAGCTCCTTAGGATAAAAGGTGACCCCCAATTTTTATTAAATATTCTGAAAGCACATGAGCTGTAGATATGATTTTTTATATCATAATAGCTGATCGGACATTGTGGCGTCATCATATTGCTATCTGAATTTTAAAAAACAAGAAAAATTTATATTTCTTTTCTCAAAACGTTGATGACGTCATATCATCTTAACCTTTGTCATTTCTGAATAATTTTAAATGGGCTTATACTTGAGGTCAAGGTTGAATGTTATGTATCTTACCTTTTTGTTTGCGGGTCTTAACGTGCGCGTACGCGTGCGTCAAAAATGACATATTCTTATAACTATGCCTATTTATAATCAAACATAGCTCCTTAGGATGAAAGGTGACCTTCAATTGTTATTACATATTCTGAGAGCACGAGTTGTAGATACGATTTTATATATCATAATGGCTGATCGGACATTGTGACGTCATCATATTGCCACTAAAAGTAAGAAAAAACTAAATTTTTATTTATGACATCATTACTTTTTATACTCGTTTGAACGTATCTCGCTTATCTTGATTGTCTCCCACCTGTGAGTATATTATAGCTAAATCAATTCTCTTTCAGACGTTTTTATTTTCATCACGTCAGCATGGTGAAAAAGAATTAATTTTTGGAGCTCTTTTATCTCTCATTCTTAAAAGATG